CTGAAAACTTCTCTCCCAACAACAGAGTTGTCTAAAGTCAGTGGAGTTTGTACTTTTCTGCAGAATCAGTCATTTGGACAAGGGTGAGAAGGGACCAGATTGCTGACTCAGTTTCTCCCCAAGCCCTTGAGAGCAGCAGCTCTGGCCCTGAATTTTGCTCAGACAGGTGGCATCGAGTCTCCGTTGGCTCCTTTGAATGGTGCTTAGGTAAGAGTCTGGTTGGAACCTCTTTGTCAGTTTATCAGTCATTTTGGAGAGCAAAGGTCAAGAGCACCCAGATCCATTCCACCTGTTGGGGAGTCACTGCCCAAGCCCTTCTAGGCATCTCCATTTAGGAAGCCCTGTGGTATAATAGGGTCCTGATCATGTCATCAGAACTTAAAATAACCGAGACCCAGAGGGGTAGAGGGAATCGAGCACACTGAATGTTTGATTATAGGTTCATTTTTCTAATGATTGTGCCAGGTTAAGGATTGTTTCGACAGTTGGTTATCTTTTTCTTGCATTTTATGGTGAACCAAAAGCTAATTAGTGTTCTAATTGAGGCTGGATGCTTCTTGAAGGGCATGTTAAATTTTAAAGAGTGCATTTGATTATTATTTCATGCTAAAATGGTTTATTTTATAGGATTACACTAGGGTTTCTCGGTGTGGCATTTCTCAGACTATTGACATTCTGAGTCTGATCACGCTTTCCTCTGGGGCTGTCCTGGGTATTGGATGGTTACCAGCATTCCTGCTGTGCCCACCAGCACGCTCACAACTGCCTAATGTCCTGTGGAGCAAAATTGCCTTCGGTTTAGAGCCACTGGATGACAAAATCAAGTTATGATAGAAGTAACTGGGACAAGCCGGTCCAGCATACAAATATTATTATTCTCTTAATTCTCAAGAAGGTCTTTCATATGTAAAATGAACTAACAAATAACATTTAAAAACATTGTTTTAAAGCTAACAGTTTTAAGAGTTTACCATGTGTCAGATACAGTTTTACATATTTTTCCTGGAATAATTCATTTAGTCCGCATAAGAATCTTAGAATGGGGGCCATTGTAACTATTATTATAATTACCTTAATAGGTGAGGAAACTGAGTGAGAGAGGGTGTGAGCAATCACTGAGCCAGTGTAGCAGAGGCAAATGTGGCTTAAGAATTTACTAATAGGAAGTGGTTTTAACGTGGTTTTTAAGTGCTGGGAATTTTTGTACAACGGTTAAGAATAAGCTGAAAAAGAAGGAGGCAGGACAACAATATTCCTGTCAGACTGAAAACATATTGCCTAAACCTTTCTTCAGAATCTGGAACATTGCTGTTTCCTGAGCCTGCACTGGTATGTGTGTATATGTTGTTTAAATCTATTAATAATTAACATTATGGTGACTAGTTTGTTTTGCTATTATGAATATGTATTTTCTTTTTTAAAATTCAAGTTATTAAAACAAAAGAAATAAAAATAGCTTACCCACTCCATATATAAAATAAACGCTTTTATATCTGAGCAACTTATTCATTCAATAAATATTGGACATACTATGTGCCATACTCTGGGGGACACAGCAGTGCGAAAGATAGGCACGGTACTGCCCTCGTGGAGCTTGTATTTAGGGGGACCAAATAAATAAGAGCATCAGATACCAAGAAGTGCCATGAAGACAATGAAGAAGGGCTTGGAAGGTCTATATTAGGTTGGATGTTCAAGGAAGGCCTCTCTGCAGAGGTGGCATTTCAGCTGAGACCCTAGGATCTAGCTAGGTGAAAACCTGCGAGATGTTCCAGGCTGTGTTCTAGGGGGAACAGCAAATGCAAAGGCCCTGAGGCAGGAGTAGAAAGCAGACTGATTGGCTGAAGTAGAGTGGGGAAGGGGAGGGGAGTGGTGCTTGGGGGCTCAATTGGTCCAGAGGTGAGCAGAGCCAGGAAGCACAGGGCCACACAAGTTGAGGGAGGGGAGCTTGGGCTTTACTTCCAGGGCAGTGAGGAGCCCTTAGAGGGTATGGGCAATATAGTAGACTGATGGAATTGGACATGTATATTTTCAAAATCTTTAAAACACCTCTTTGGCTGCTGTTGGAGGGAGGTGCCCAGTGCGGCATCAGGGAGATGATTCAGGTAGTCAGGGTGGGATGAAGAGACAGAGCTGTCGTTTTGGCCGAGGTGGCGGAGGTGGAGACCAAGTGAAGTGGATGTAGAAATCCACCACACCAGCAATAACCACCTTACATTTTGACAGCACTTCTGTGGGCTGCCCATTAGTTTCCTTTCTCTGGTCCTCTCAGCATAGCCGAGCACCTGTTCCAGCCAGTTTACCAGCCACACTTTGTCTGGAAGGAACCGTTGCCAGGCTTATCGCAGCCCTCACATCAGTGGTCAGACGTCAGGAAGGGGAAGAAACGGCAGGCAGGAAAGGATGGCCGAGCAAAGCCATGTGTGTGTGTCTGCTCTGTGTACACCAGGGCCTGGCAGGGCGCCTGATGCAGAGCAGAGGCCCCTGAAACACTCACTGAGTAAATGAATGAGTGATAAACGAAGGAAGGGAATAAATAAATGAAGAGACTGTGGGTGTTACAACCATTCAAGCTGCCAGGAGGGGTGCAGGGCTGGGGACTGGGTGCTTCACTCTAGGACAGTTACCCTGAGATCCTTGGATTATTGCTCCAAGACTCAAAATGAGGAGCCTGAGCCAGGGGGTTGTGGGTGTGTGTGTGGAAGGGGTGGGAAATTTGTCCAAGGAGGCTTACCCGCCAAGCTGGGGTCCTTCGCAGGCTGTCAGAGTTTGAAATCAATTGTTCTATTACCACCTAAGGGAAACAAGATCTCAGAAAGGGAGGGAAGAGGGCAGACTCACTGGGCTGGGTCCCTTCTGTCCACCTCCCATCTCTGCTCCAGCTCCCCCAACCCCTTCTCTGCAGCACCGGCCACTGCCCCCTCTGCCCCCGTGCCTCTGTTCCAAGCGGTGCTGGCAGCTTGCTTAGCCAGATCGCCACAGTGAGTCCTTTGGAAAGGGGCACCGCTCTGCTGCCCTGTGGTTCCTTTGCTGAGTGTCAAGACCAGTTAGCTTTATGGCCTTGCCACCTGCAGAGCACCCTGCCACCTTTTAATTAGCCTCTGCCCTGGTCTGTTTCTGAGCACTCCATCCCGCCTCCCTTCTCCTGATTTAGGGAGGCTGCAGCGGACCTTTGCTCTCTTGGGCCAGAATAGGGATGCGTGAGACTGGGCTGAACACAGAGCCAGTGTATTAGCTTTAGGGACATTTTCTTCTGGTGGACCCTCAGGCACTTCTGACCCATGGGCAGTGTGAGAAAGACAGAGGCAGTCTGTGTGTTTGGACTGGTGGGGGTGGGGGGTGAGTGCGCACACGGTTCATTGGGAAAGATGAGAAATGGCAGGATTTGCCTCTTGGGGGTTGGCCACCTGCTTAGGGCACTGGCCTGGTTTAAGGGGAGTGAGAGCTTCTGCTGATCAGGGTGTTGAGGCTCGTTCTCTGAGCCCTGAGTGTCTGATGCAGGAAGAACTCCATTCCTGGAGCCAGCCGAGCTTGGTTTCCCCCACTGACCTGTCCACCTGGGGTCACTACAGAGCTTTCCTGAGCCTCAGTTTCCTTATCTGTGAGGTGGGGTGTCTTAGTTCATTCATGCTGCGGACTAGGTAGCTTATCTCCAACAGATTTATTGCTCACAGTTCTGGAAGCTGCAAGTCCGCGGTCAGGGTGCCCACACGGTTGGGTGAGGGCCCTGCTTTGGGTCGCAGACTTCTTGCTTTGTCCTCAGATGCGGGTAAGGAAGGGGTGAGGGAGCTCATGGGGTCTCTTTTATAAGGGTACTAATCCCTTTCATGAGGGCTGCACCTATGAAATTTGTATGTTGAAGCCCTAATGCCCAGTGTAGCTGCCTTTGGAAGGAGGGGTTTTAGGAACTAATCAAAGTTATGTGAAGCTATATGGGTGGGGTTCTCATCTGACAGAGTTGGTGGTGTTATAAGAGGAAGAGAGATTTCTATTTCTCCATGTGCACACATGGACTGATCTTGGATTCCCAGCCTCGAGATCTGTTAGAAAATGAATGCCTGTTGTTTAAGCCACCCAGTCTGGTATTTTCTTATGGCAGCCTGAGTGACTGACAGCTGGTCTGGCTCCCTCCCTTCCTGGGAACCTCCTGAGGGCAGAGACCCTGCTGCTGTCATCTCTTCTGCCTGATGCAGTGCATACCTACGATGGGACCATCAGTGGGAATGAGAGACCCACTTCTATGGGGTCCTCTGGCTGTGGCCACTGCAGTTAAGGACAGGATTTTTTTTTTCTTGCCTATCAGATAAAATACAAGACACCCAGTCACATTTTAATTTCTGATATACAACAGGTATGAATTTTAGCATAAGTTTAGCATAACAAATATGTTTTTAGCTTAAGTATATCTCAAATATTGTACAGGACCATACTTAGATTGAAAAAAAATATTGTTAATCTGAAATTAACCAGGTATCCTGTTTTTTTTGTTTTTTGTTTTTTGTTTTGGCTAAATCCAGCAATCCTACCCTCTGTTTTTAGGGACGGCTGGAGAGTAAAGTCCTTGACCTGGAGCAGTGGTTCTCAAAGAGTGGTCCCGGGACCAGAGCACCAGTAACTCCTCTCCCGGCACAGAAAATCTCGGGCTCCACCCAGACTTCCAGAACCCGAACTCCTGAGGGTGCCTGACCTAGACAGTGATACTAACGGGAGATTCCAGCCCCCGCCCCGTTCCCCTGCCCTGCTGCCCCTCAGGGCACCTTGGGCTCCTCTGCCCAAAGTACAGTAATAGAGATGTTACCAGGGGCATTACAGGCGCTCTCTCTGGGTGCCTGTGGTTTCACACAAGACTGCAGAGGTTTATACACGCAGCGCCTTCTCTGCTTGGCCTCCCGGCTCTGCTCTACCCGCCCCGATCTGTTCCCGAGCCGGCAGAGAGCTGTGAACCAGAGAATTTATCTTGCGGCCGGATCTGCCTGCGGCGGCAGGGCGGGGCGGGGCCTGGTGGATGGGGGACACGTGTGCCGGGAGCGAAGCAGGAAGTGACTCCGGGAGCGGAGCCGGCGCTCGAGCTGCAGCGGGGCTGATGGAAGTGGAGAGGGGGCTTGAGAGGGCATCGTAGTGAGTCAGCTTTTCTCTCCTTCAGCGCCTTCGGTTGGGCTGGAGGCCCGGGGTCTGGGGCCATCAGGACAAGAGTGTGGGGGACTTGGAAGGGCAAAATGGAGTTTGGAAGGGGGTACCCTGGGCAGAGGAGGCTGTTGGAGGAGAGGCAGGGCGGCTGTGGCAGGTGGCTAAGGAGGGAGAAGGGTGCCGGGAGTTCCCCTGCCCCTTTCCAGGGTCAGCAGGAGGGTGCTGACCTACCTGCCTTCCACGGTGATTCCCAAGGTCCTCGATGTGGTGCTTCCCAGGGGGGTTGTTGAGGGGACCTGGGAGCCCCTGGGAGCAGAGGGGGCTACAACTGCAGCTGCCCGGAGTCCCCTCCCACTCCCTCTGGAGGTCAGCGGGACCTCTTAAACTTGACTGGGAATCTAGTTAAGGTGTCACAGGCCCGCAATTGTGCATTTCTAAGCAGTCCCCCAGTCGGCTGCTCTGGGAGCACACCTTGACTAGAGGTGTTAGAGAACCCCGACTCAGTCCTGTCGGCCCCAGCCCGAATCGTTTTGCTGCTTTCTCCTCGTGGAGTCTGGGCACGTGCGTACAGTTTAATTAAGCCCTATTTTCACATCTACAAGTTCAACATCTCGAGGCAGACTCTGGGGAGCAGGGCAACAGACTTAAAAAGGAGAGAAAAGAAAGAGCCTACATCAGCCGGGAGAGCCTCGTGTTGCCGTAGCGTAGTGGAACATGTACACACATGGGGTGGTGGTGACATCTTTCCCGCTGGAGTGGGCAGAGAATAATCCCCTTCTGCAGACCAGTCAAGGTTCCCGTATTACTGTCCAGGAGGCGGTGTGAGCCCCATTGCAGAAGCTGCTTTTGAGGCTGACGTGCCCCGTTGCCCGGGTGCTACTGGTCACCTATGGGAGAAAACTTAGTCCTCTCGGGCCCCTGCATCATCGGCCTTGCCAGTCCCTTGCAGGGCGCGAGAGCTTACCTTCTGAGCTCTGTCTTTCAGAAGTTGTTCTGGTCTTAGACCAGTGCCTCTGACTTTAATGTGTATAATATGAATCCCCCATGGAACTTGAAGAAATGTGGGTTATGATTTGGCCTGACTGGGGTGGGGCCTGAGACCCTGAATTTCTCATTGGCTCCCAAGGGGGACCAGTGCCGCTGGTTCTCAGGCCACCCTCTGAGTTAATGAGGATTTAAAACAGCAAATGGAAGAAACTTCTCCCATGGGGCACTGGGCCTGTGTTGCCAATAATAATTGCTGTGGTTTTGGGGATGAAAAGAGTGATATCCCTTTTTCTTACATCTTGGTGCTCCAGCATAAATGAGGACAGGCCGAGCATAGTGTTTCCCTTTCGAACCCCAACAAGCTCCTGTGTTTGCCAGCCTATAAAACCCACGTTGACTTTGGCCTGTTGGCAGATGTAAATGGTTTCCTCTTTTTTGTAGCTGTTAAAAGGCACATTCAATACTGAGAAAAAAAAATTGCTTTTTGTTATGACTCGTCTTGGATGATAAGTACAAAGAGGATGACCACGATGTGCCTTTCTTTGTAAATGCTGTTGGAAGTTTTATCCACAAGCAGCTAGAAATAGAAGATTGGTGAAATGAGCCAGATGTCTCAATTTAAAAACAAACAAGAACAACTCTTTTTTAGGGTGACTTAACAAAACGACCTATGTAAAAGGGTGGGCTTAAAAAAATTATTTTTTCCTTTTTTAGTGTAGTCACTGTCCTGAGTTCCATAGATGCTGTTTCTCTCAGAGATTTCCTGCCACCGGAGCCAAGCCTGGCTTACCTGGGTTCACCTGGACTCTCAGCTTTCCTAGGTTTAAATCCTGGCTGTGTTGCCGAGCCCTTTAGCAGAAGGGCCCTGTCCACTTACTGCCACGGTTTCCTCCCAGGGTCAGTAGAGAGCGTCTTTAACTCTTGATCTGCAAGCCCAGGGTTACCAGCTCCTCACAGAGCGCTGGGCCTGGCATGCAGAGCCCATGGGGTCGTGTCCAGCCCTGTGGGTGCTGGAAGGTCAGTGGGGAGCTGAATGAGCCCTTTGAGATGAGGCCTGAGCCCTGATGTTTGTGTACCAGAACACGGGGCTTTTCAACAACCAGGCTTCTCCGCCTTGTAACTTTCCACAGTGAGAATCATATTCCCTATCATTCCAGAGCTAGAATTTTAAAACCTGGTAGTCTAGAGGAGGCTTTCTGAGCAAAAACAAGAAAGAATGGCATTTCCCTTTTTTCCCTGGTGGGCACTGCTGTAACTTCATTTCAGTAGCTGTGTGCTCAGTTGACTGGGGGGAAATGCCGCTTACGCCTCCCTTTCCTTGTTCTTGCTGATGTCCTGTCAAGGTAAGCGGTTCCTTTTCATTTCAGCAATTATTTTTTGGGTGCCAGGAAGCCCTATTTTACAGAGGTGCCAAATGTGGAAAGGCATCATCCTGGTTCATAAGCAACTAATAAAAGGTGGAGGAGGCAAGCCCACACAAAGAAAGTGCCAGAGATGTGCCCTGGGACAGGAGTGGAGAGGGAGCAGGGCAGTATGGGATTGGAGCTGGCATTAGATGGGCACAGAGGATACTCTGGGGTGACGGCTGGAGATCAGGGAGGCTTTCTGGGAGGGACTGTCTAAAGAGACTTGGAGCAGGACCATCGGGGCTTGATGGAGGTGCCATGGATAATTTGGTGCCCACACAGGGCGTTGTGGTTGAAGAGTTGGCAGGCTAATTGAGGGTCAGTTGATGGAGTGTACCCTTGGCAGGCCTTGGGAGCCACCACGGGAGCCGCCCTGGGGAGCTACAGAAGGATTGGTCAGGACTTAGGTGGGAGAGCTTCAGGAGGAAATCTGAGCTAGTCCCTGGTATTGGGCGGGGACAGAACCAATGACAGGCAAGCTCAGGTAGACTAGGCAGAATGTGCTGGAAGGGTGCAGTCAGACCCTCCCGTGCTCCCTTCCTCCAGGCTAAATAATCCACATCCTTTGAGATTCTCTTTGAAACTGGTGCCCTGTGTTATAACCTCTTTTGTGGGTTCCTCTGGTGTCTTCCCAGGTATCCCCACATCTCTCCTTTTGCAGTTAGATGGTTTCTAATATCTGTGTGGAAGGACAAAGAGCCTGACCTGTGTGCTGGGTCACTGAGATCGGTGAGGGAGGGCATGGCAGAAAGGTGCGTACCACCAGCAGAGATTCAGGCCAGCTCAGGTGGAGGTGTGAGAACACCTTGGAACGTGGGGTGTCCCTGAAAGGGACCGCCACCAGCTGACCCTGTCTTGCTCCTCTGCACACAGCTGTATCCAGCATGCTCCAAGGCCACAGCTCTGTGTTCCAGGCCTTGCTGGGGACCTTCTTCACCTGGGGGATGACGGCAGCTGGGGCGGCTCTTGTGTTCATATTCTCTAGCGGACAGGTGAGTTGCTTGCTTGAGTCAGTTCTGGATGTTCACGGGGACTCTCCTAGCATTCCACTCTGCATAGTAGGGCTGCAAGCTCTTGAATGCCACCAGCCACCCCCCAGATTGTGGGGGTTGTTTGTTCTCTGTCCTTTAATTTTCTCCCCTTCTCCCTCCCAGACCTGGAAAGCAGGTGTCCCTGGCTGCAGACATGCTAACCCATTGCCTTCATCTCCCCTTCTCATTTGAAGGGGCTGGGAAGGGAGCAACCTAGTTTATTCAGCCTCCTTTAGCCCCTGCTTGCCTGATTTCTGTCTTCCGTGTAGTTTCTTTCAGGCCCGGTAATAGAGGTGACCAAAGAGGAACAAAAAGGTTTTGGGTGTGGCTGTCCTGCTCTGCGTCCTGGAGTTAGTAGGGAGGATTGCAAAGGCCCTGTGGAAAGGAGGGGTGTCCACACCCTTTCCCCTTTAGTCCATCTCCAGGGCTCTCCATTCCCTCCCCCAACCCCTTTGGAATGAATACACACAGACCCCTCCCTGCCCACCAGATCCCACACTCCACCCCACAAACCACGTCCACCTCATATGCTTGAATTCCGTATTTTTCTCCAGTCCTTGAATCCCTTCGCCCACAGGCCCTGCGTGATCCACCAATAGCAGCTCAATGAATGATGAACGCAGACTTCCTGCATCATTCAGCAGGTGGCCTTAGACACTGGGTGTGGTAAGCCAGTAGGTGACTTAAGATCTGTTTAAACATACCGTGACAGGGATCTGGAAACTAAAACCCGTGCACTCTTGTGTTAGAAACCAGTAAAGCAGGTATTGAAGTGATAAGATCCAACCTCCTGCACTGCCCTGACCCCGCCCCTCCTCCCAGGGAGGCTTGGAGCCTGTCGGAGACCCACATGGCAGGATTCCAGGCTTTCTGGGGTCCCATCCTTGTGCCTTCTGGGGCAGACAGCTCCTACATTCATCTTCACCAGTTTCTTCTGTGTTGAGACGGAAAGACTGGGGTCGCAGCTGGGGTCTAGCTGGTTCTGCTGGCCCTTGAGATCTGAGTAGACTGCAGAGCCCTGTGTGGCCCTGGCCAGTGAGAAAGTGTGGAGAAATCTGTGCATAGGCTTCTGATGCCCTCTCCTTCCTGGGGGATGCCCCTCCCAGCAATGGAAATGTAGCAGCACATGTGTGATGTGTGTGCCCAGAATGCCCAGTAGAGGCTCAGCTCCCAAGGATTTTACTGGGACTGGCCACATAGGCACTCCATACTGTGCTGCTATCAAAATTCTAGGCTCAGAGAAGGAAAGCAGGTGTCTTGCTTCCATCACCTTGTTCGTTAAACAGGGTACGCACGTTGACCCACCCTTATCAGTTAGGAATGGAGGGAGGAGTTCAAGTGCTAAGTTCCCAGAGGCCAGCCAAGGACCAGCCTCCCAAGCAGGACCTTCTAATGATAGCAGGCTCTGGTGGTCTGTGCTAACCCCTTCTGCACAGGAGGTGTGCGTGCAAAGTGGGAAGACTCATGACCCTGGGAGACAAAGGCAGCCAGAGCCACGAGGCCACGGAGGTGTGATCTGTCTGCCTGAGCAAACTTCAGTGTTCACCTGGCTGCAGGGGGGCTGCAGTGGAGCACCTGGCCCAGTAGACACCCAGACTCTGTTACACACTCTCTTCCACTGCTGTCACCAACTTTGGTTTATCTTCACTCAAACTTTGTTTTCCTGATTTAAAATATCATATTTTAACTGTAGGAAACTTGTAAAATATGGAAAAGATTAAAGAAATAATAAAAAATTCCTGATCCCACTTCTCAGAAAGGAAAATGGAATACATTTGTTCAGATTTGTTCAGTTGTATTTGAATATACATTGAGCATATGCATATCTATTTTCTTTACATTATTGGGGTCAAACTGTAAGTAAGGTTTTATAACCAGCTTTTCTCAGTTGATATTGTAAGCATTCCCCTTATATCCCTAAATGGTTTTTTGATTACTTTGATTACTTGGGTTACTTAAATGGCTATGTAATATTCTGTCATGAGGACACACTGCAGCTTATCTGACCATTCCCCAACTGTTGGACAATTAGGTTATGTCCTTTTTTCTTTCTTTTTGAGAAATAAAATTATGATGAACATCAATCTTTGAGCACATATCTGATTAGTTCCTTGAAATAAATGTCTAAAAGTGGAATAACTTGTTTATTGATCTTAAAGTATAATTTCTCTCCTTCAGGATTCAGATGAATGCTGACAAGATGATTTTACCTGACTTCTTTATTATATCTGTCTGGTTTGATGAAATTATTTGGTTAGACCAATTTTGCTTCCATCATGGCATGCCTAGAGAAAAATGTCATTTGTATGGCTCACTGGGGTCAAAACTTTCCATTTACCCCACAGCCATGCTGAGGTGGGAAGAGGCTGCCTGTGGCTGGAGATGACTGACTGGGTGGTTTGAGCTACCCAGACATCACTGGGAATCTCTAGGACTGAGGCGATCAACATCTCATCGTGTCTGTCATGTGTTCATGTGGCTCTAGTTTATATCCTTAACTCAGGCCACCAAATTAAAAAAAATTAATTGAAATGTAAGGTACATATAGAAAAATACACATTTTAGAAGTACGGTGTGATGATTTTTCACAAATGCCTATGACACTAGTACCTAGATCAAGACTGAGAACAGAACCAACCCCCCAAGAGCCCTGTCAGGTTCCCTTCCCGTCACCATGTGCACGCCTGCAGAGACATTTCCTCTCCTGGTCTCAAACAGCAGAGAGTAGTTTTCTTTGGCTTTTCATATTGCATAAATTCAATAATCGTACAGTACATGGTCTTCTGTCTGACTGATTTCACCCTGTTTAGTTTCCACGTTACCCATGCCCCTGTCTGATTGTGAGCTTCATCAGTGTATCTATGTGTGTTCTCACTGCCCTGTGGTATTCTGTTGTGTGAATACATCTGATTGGTGTGTCTAATCTGTTTGTTGGCATTTGGACAGTTTCTAGTTTTTGACTCTCCCAAAATGCTGCTAAAAGCATTTTTGTACATGTGTTTGGTCACTCCCAGTATGCGTTCTGTTTGCTAGTTACTCACCAGGGGCACTGCTGGATCCTAGGGGCTGCCTGTGTTCACTACTGGTGGATGGTGCCAGGTAGTTTTCCAAAGTGTCTGTGCCACCTCAGACCCCCACCTGCAGCATGGGAAGGCTTTAGTTGGTCCACATGCTCCTTGCCAGCACTTGTCAATTTCCATCTTTTAGGTCAGCTACTCACTACAGGTTTGTCATCGTAATTCACAGGGAGAGCTGAGTAAGAGCAACACCTGGGCCCGTGCAGGCCAGTGCAGGCCAGCTTCCACACGGAAACAGCACTGATAGGCTGTGGAATGGATGGAAGGTTTTTACAGATTTTCCTCCCTAATTCTTGTCCCAATTTACAAAGGCTTTGATCCAGGCTCCCTGACAGGTTTGCACACCAGGTGTGGCCTCCCCTTTATTTTCGTGGCCCTGTTAAGTGTTATGGTTACCTCTTGTCCCAGGAAACATCCCTTAGAAACTGAAACATATTGTTTTCATTTTCAGAGGCGGATCTTAGATGGAAGTCTTGGCTTTGCTGCAGGGGTAAGTGCATCTGGTAGTAAGAATGTAAATGAAGACATGTTTATTCTGACATTTCTCTGCCAAGGGGTATCTCCATCTCTCCCCAGGCAGCTTGGATGCAGTCTGTGATCTGCAGGTGCTAATGGTACCTTCTTTTCCCCGACCTTAGTTATTTTCCAGCACATTGAATGCTGCTGCCTCTGTTAGTGGGAGAGCTGGCTGGGCAGCTGCCTCAGGACCTGAACAACGGGATAATATTTAGGAAGGGCCTAGCACAGTGCCTTATTGGCACTAATTAAATATCCTTTTTCTCTCCTTCCCTTCCCCCTCAAAGACCTTTTATTAGAGACATTTCAAATCTAAACAAGTGGAGAGAATCCTAGATAGCCATCACCCAGCTCCAATCATTATTGACATTTTGCTAATCTCATTTCATTTGTCTTCCCCAAACCTTCTGGAGAGGATGGATTATTTTGTAAAAGCCAATCCTAGATAGCATATAATTTCATCTGCAAGTTAAGTACATGTCTCTAACTGGATGGCTTAAAAAAAAAATTAACTGTAGCATTATCATGCCTATGAACATTAACAAGAATTCTTTATTATAACCTAACACCCAGTCCACATTCAAATTTCCTGCATTCTTTCAAAGGTGCTGTCTAAAATTGTTTAGTGAGAATGGAGATCCAAACAAGATTTCATATTGAATTTGTTATATCTTTTAAGATTCTTTTATTTCTTTAGTGGTCCCATTTTTTTTTCTTCTTCACACTATGATTTGTAAGAGAAACTGGGCCATTTGTATCTGTAGAATGTCCCACATTCTGAATTTGGCCGGTGGCCTCCCATGGTGCTGTGATAGGTGTTCCTCAGCACCCCCGTATCTCCTGTTGGCTCGGGGTGAGATCTCGCAGCTTGGTTAATCTGGAGTCCTTTTTCCAGGCATGATGTGTCAGTCCCATCAGAGGACTTGTGCCATGGGGTTTTCCCTTTTAGTTGATCAGGATTTCATTCCTCTCTCCTGTTTTTATAATCCTGTCATCTGCAAAAACTGGCCTGGGGTGGCACCTCCTAGAGGGGGTCTGCGTGCCTGCAGGAGCCTGTGGAGGCTTCCCAGGTGATGCCCGGGGGCATGAAGAGCATAACAAAATCAGGTTCCAGCTCCTCAGTGGCCATATGTTCTGCCTGAGAATGCCCCACCGTGGTCTTCCCTGCCCACGTTCCCTCCCACAGTTGCCCTTTTCCACTTTAGAAAAGAAAGACACACTCTTGCCCTATTACCCTGTCTCTGGGTGACAGAATCTCCATGCATCCACTTGGAATGTTGGTGCTGGTGTGGAGAAAGGGAGTATCTCTAATCACTAATCACTGGGCACACATCCTTTAGCAATTCAGATGCTGTTCTGTCCTTTGAATATGGATCTAATTGAATTGTGAGCTGACTGATCCGTAAAAGTAATTTTCCATGTTGGACCATTCTGGGATTTGGGGCCTGTAACTTGGGTAGAGTTCCAAGAACAAAATGACAATCTTATAACAAAATGTCTATTAATCTTCCTCTTTACATGGACACATTTTTTCTTTGCTTACATTAAAAAAGGAAAACAAAAACCTTTCCGTGTCCCATTCTAGTTGCTTCTTTTAGGCCAAGAGCCACTGTAAGATTTTCATAGCAAAGGACAAAAAAAAAAAAAAAAAAGAACAGAATGAAATAATAAAAATAACAAACAAAAACAGAGTATAATAGTCTTCAGGACATGTAAGAATGAATTTGAGAACATTAAAACATGAAAATTTAAGAAGTAATTTCCCTAAAGAATCATCAGACTGTGCATAACTATGTTCATTTAACTATGAGGATCTAAAATAAAATAATACGGTTGGTAGAAAAAAGATTCTAAAAGTTATTTATGTATATTTATTAGAAAATGCCATTTACTACTCTGAAATTGACCTTGAATATGAGCTAGTTGCACAGAGGAACTCCTGGCAGGTCACCAGATACATGGAGAAGAGCAAAACCATGATGCGGGAGACAGTTGAGACTGAAACGCACTGGTGGCTGGAGGTGGATTCTCATAAATGCTTCCCCAACAAGGGAGAGGCGCTAGAGCTCAGGTGGCCTGAGCTGTCATGATCGCTGGTACTTATCGTGGGATAATTTATATTCGCTATGGGCAACCTTCAGGCTGGGGCAGTGGTTCTCAGTGGGGGGTGGGGGTGGGGTTTGCTCCCCAGGGGACATGTGGCATGTTTGTGTGTCTCCACTGGTATCTAGTGGGTAAAGGCCAGGTGTGCTGCCACACACCCTGTGATGCCCGGACAGCCCCCAAGTGTCAGTGGTGCTCAGCTGAGAAATCCTGGTCTGGAGCATTTTGATGTGTCATCTTTAGTCAGAAAGTGGAATGTGTAAAAATTCAGGTGTATTTGAAGTTAAAAAAAAAAAAAGTTCCCTTGCATCTCCCACTTGCTTCCCAGAGGTCATCACAATTAACCCTCAGCGTGTATCCTTGGAGAACTTTTATGATACATATGCACAGTGTCAGGGCGGTTCAGTGTGCCATGGCGCATGGTATCCTAAAGGCTTTGCTGCCTCAACGTAGCTTTGAGAGTCTTTGAGTAAATAGGTTGAAAAGGGACCACTGGCCATCAGTCAGTTGGACTGGGTTCCCATAGTAGCATTTTTACAGTGCATGCCTCTATGTGTGTGTTGTATGTACACTGAAATTCATCTCTACTGCTGCAGGGACATCTTTATACAATATATAATTGTGCACTGGAGCAAGTGTTTTTGTAAGAGATTCCTGGGACAAAGAACATGTGCTTTTTAAATGTGCTCAGCAATATATTTCACAGGTCATTTTTTCTCATTAGCAGGGCCTTGGAAGCATTAATCAGTTCTCCTTAAATGACTCCTTTTAGAATTCATTTGCCTGTTTTTCCCTCAACTCCTTAAATCACTTTCCAAGTCTCTAATAATCATTGTTTTTCTCCTCTCAGTGCCCAAGCCTGGCCTTGATTTTGGCCTGAGGCAGGAACTTAATGGGGAGAAATGTTACCATTATTCCCTCTTCGAATCCTAGAGTAACAGCTTTAAAGCTGGAAAAGATTTCAGACGTTTATGATAGCTACTATTTAATGAGTCATTATTTTTCACAAGGTACTCTGCCAAACACTTTATGTAAGGCATCTAATTTAATTTTTATGACAACTCAGTGAGGTATATACCAGGGGCTGTTATTTACTCCCACTTTATGGGTAGGAAAACTGAGGCACAGCAAGTATAAATAAATTGTTTAGGAGCACACAGTGATCAGAGTCAGGATTTGAATGCACAGCCTGACTGGAGAGCTACTACTTTGAAGCCACAGTACCTCCTAACTGATGTCTGGTCCCGCTGCCTCTGTCTATAGATAAGCGATAAATCCAGAGAGAGTAAATGACTTACCCAAGATTGAAAAATTGCTAGGCAGTGGCGGAGCGAGGACCAATGTCTTTTTTTTATTTGTGAGGCTTGCACTAACTAGGCACCTCTAAATCATTGTACTTTCTTAGCACTTGTGTGGAATAAATATGACCACGGAACTCAGGAAGAGCAAGGTGGCCTCCCAATCAAGGAGCTTACATCTCGGCATGAAACAGCAATTTAATATCTATTATTTAATCCCACAGGGAGCTGGTTTCTCATGAAAGACATCATTTTCTTAAGGAGATTTTGGCTGAGTCTGTTTTTGTGCAGCAAGTGCTGAATAATATTTTCCCCGAGTAACTGGCTCACTGTTGGAAGTTAACGATGCAATCTAGTGTTGGCCTCGAGTCTGGGGGGATGATGGTGACCAGCTATTCTTCATTTCCATGGAGAAATGCGTGGGAAGAAGTGGTGAAATTGTAGTGTGAGGGATTCAGGGAGGAGATTTCAGCCAGGGCTGAAAGGGTTATTCTGGAGTAAGTAGTAGAAAGAGGAGAGCTAGGGGTGGGAAGCAGCCACGGAACTGGGTCTTCAGAAGTCCGAGCTTTTATACTCCTGGCCGTGTGTGCAGATCCTGGAGAGGGGAGTGCTGATTGCGGTTACTGCCGGACAGGTAGGGAAGCCTGCTGAGTCCTATGGGAGCTCTTTCAGTGTGAGGTCTTTGGGAACACGCCGAAATGGGCTGGGCCATAGGCACAGTACCATGAGCCGGCATGCAGGTGTGCTGACGGGCTCTGATGAGGCTCCTGCAAAGATCTACGCTCTGTTCTCTGAGCCCTGATTCTCCTCGTTACAAGGCTGAGAGGCGAAGAGCCCAGATGAGCCCCCGTTGAACATGCCTGAGGACCTCCATGCCTGCATCACTTTGACCAGATGGCCCACGTTGCAAGTTTCAGGGCAGTTGTCCAAAGTGGAGCTCCGCTCTTAAATGTGCTTTTTCAAGATTTTGGAAACTGAGGAGCCCTGGAGCCTCTGGGATCTTACTCTCTGCAGGTTTGCTCGTTGTGTTCTGGCATGCAATGACGAGGGAGGCAAAGTTTGTCTGTTGTAGGGCTAAGGCTACCCTTAGGTGGGCCCTCCGTGAAGAAGCAAGGTGGCATATGGGGCTGGCTAGTGGCACTCTGTGCTCCCTGCCCCTGGCGAGGTGAGTGTGGCACGGTGAAGGAGGAAGATGCGGGGAAGGGCCCGTCTCTAACCATGACTATTCACAGCCTTGCTTCAGGGTCCTTGGCCCAGTTGTTAAGGGGCACCTACCACGTCTACCCCCGTGGCTTCCAGCACAGCGATGCAGCAAGACACCAACAGCCGCAGCTCTCATAGTGGATGGGGGGAGACCCGTCAGGTTTGACGATCAGACGTTTCATTTTCAGAGGTCTCAAGTAGCCAGCATACACTGGGAAAATGTCTGTGTCTCAGCTGAGATGAACATCCTCAAACCTTGCCCGGCATGGGCAGGAGCCCCTGACCACCTCCTGGGGGACAAGCCCGACCTGTGGCCAGGCGCTCCCGGCCCCCCCACAGCAGTGGTTCCTGTGAGCGCGAGGGCGATGTG